ATATATATATATACTGTGTGTGTATTATCTATAATGTACATAGTTTTGAGACAGACAGACATGCAGACAGACAGACGGACAGACAGGCAGACAGACATGGTGGATTCTTTTTAAAAAGACCTAAATATCAAGGCCTTCATGAACCAGTCTCGCTAAAAGTATTGATAAATTTGCCTATTACGCGCTGTCATAAGAACTAATCCTCCACGTCCTGGTCTTCCCCTCCGCTGTTTTCCCCCCATCACTCAAAGTATGTGGCGTACACACATCCCACGGCGAACACGTCCCCAGACGCGAAAGAGGCGGCGGCATAGCTGTCTGTCTCTGTGTTCCACATGCTCCGACTGGCCACTGCGATGCCCTGGTTCCGGTTCTGGCCGATGGTCACTACGCTGACGAACTTGTACCGCTGGCTGGAGAAAAGATCAGAAAGGGAAATATTAATTGTGTGCAATATTAATTTGTTCAACTTATTTAGATTTTATTTGCTAATCGTTGTGTTAATATTGTTCATTGTTCGCTGTTCATTGTTTCGGGAAGCAACATCTCTGCATTCTGTACATGTCCGTTGATGCTCCGTTGCTCTCTCCAAAATGTCGCTGAGGGTCTTTCCACTGATTGTGCCAGTGCATATCTGGTTGAACGTTCTTCTCTTCTTCCCTGCAAGGATGCCATATTTTCTGCTTCCTTTTTGGGAAGTACGTTGAGTTAATATTGTTCATTATTCATTGTTGAGTTAATAGCAACACAAAACATAAGCTCATGGATCGTAACTATGGTTTACTTCTCTCCAAAAGGGACGCTAGCTGGAGAAAGGATCAGAAAATTAATTGTGTGTAATATTTTTAAAATCATTTTGATTTTGTTTGCAGCACGGTGAGTTGATAGTAACACAAAACATAAACTCGTGGATTGTAACTATGGTTTGCCTTTCTCCGAAAGGGATAAAAGGCTCTAATTGTTCTGTTTGATCAATACGACTGGTCGCTTTTAAGGACAAAGGGGCTAACCCAGATTTCGGAGGTTTCCAGAATTCTTGACCGACACCAAAAGTGGGCATTTCCCTTCCTATACGAGAAGTTTGGCTTCATTGGTGTGTATATTTGTTTGGTTATAGAGAAAACACTCCTTGTCTTTTAAAGAAACCGAAGAAGGGGTAAAAACTTTACCTTCGATTTTCTCAAGACAGCATCTCTGTGTGATGTTAACAATCTTTGAATGTTCGTTGACCGTTTCCCAAAGTAATATAATCATACTCGTCTTCAGTATTGTCAAGCGGACAAACCAATGAAAAGGTTTGAATATCCTTTTCAACATTTTTTTTAAAAAAACAAATATCACAATTTGAAAGAGTGATCAAATGAACAAAAGTTGGAGAAAAAAAACCCAGAATAATACACATTACGCTAAAAAAAAAAAAAAAAAGATAACGAATAAATTTGAAGTTGAAAAACAAATTGTATAGAAAACATTGAAAATGAAAATCTTAATTAATTAATTATTCGCTTCCTTCACCTGAAGCCCAAGTCTTTGACTCTGGCTGTGATGAGCTCTGAGATCTGTTTGATCATGCTGTTGCACATCTCATGGTTGTACTTCTCGTTGCCCAGATAGGACTCCAGGACCTGCTTTATCACGTCTTCAGCCTTCTTTGCCTGGAACCTTTCATTGGCAGTAGGGGCCATACGGTACGTGTTCTGGAGCTGTACAGAACAGAAAGAAAGGGAGAAGATTTTGTTGGGGCTGTTGTTGATCTCTCTCTCTCTCTCTCTCTCTCTCTCTCTCTCT